TATTTCTGAGATGAGGTATTATGTACACTATTTACATTATTCGGACTATTGTCCTCATCTTTGTCGCCATATTTATTACAATGTTTCGGCCCTTTAGTATCTGTCTATATTTCTGAGATAAGGTATTATGTACATTATTTACATTATTTGGATTACTGTCCTCATCTTTGTCGCCATATTAATTACAACGGTTCGGCCGTTGTACGCTCCGGCCTTCTTCAGGTAGTTGGAATGTCGAACTGAACCCTTTATTTCGCTCACAGGGGTAGACTCAAGGACTCATGGCACAGTGGATAAAGGCGTTAGTTAGAGTGACAGGACACAAAAGAGTGTGAGTTCAATACCCGGTTAAGGCAGCGGAGCATTTTCAGAGGGGAATTAACAGGAGATAACTGATAACTGACATCCATTAAACATGGCACGTGGAACTAGAACAGTCTCTCTCTTTCTCTCTCTCTCTCTCTCTCTCTATATATATATATATATATAACATTAGTTGCTGGAAAGAAGGGCAGATGTCACGTAACAGTTCAGTATTTTTTCTTTGTTACCAAACATATCTTCCTGTCTCGCAATACTCTGCCCAGCTTTTGGAATGTGTCATTGGCCATCCCAATATGTCTACAGATCTCAGTGTCGCACTTACCGTCATCTGTTAATATTCTTCCCAGATATTTAAACTTCCGCGTCTGCTCGATTCTAATGTTCCGGACATTCGAATCGCATTTAGGGCCCATCCTCTTACTGACGATCATTCACTCCTTCTTCTTGGAGTTTATGCGTAGTTCCTCTCACTCCGAGTCTCTACCTTGTGTAGAAGATTTTGTAATTTCATTTCCGTGTCTCCTATCAGTCATTTGCGTATCTTATGCTGTTAAGATTGTTACCGCCAACGCTAAATACAGGTAAGGTTACCAATTCTTACAGAATTGCATCGCTGTACAGGTTGATTCAGGTCGGATGAGAAGACACATCCTTGCGTTACGCCCCTTTCTATTTTTGTGTATTCGCAGATCTCGTTCTCTATGCGCAGGCATGCTGTTTGCTGCCACATTAGGTTTTTGATTATTCTGATATCTTTCACGAATATATCAAGGTTGCTAAGCAGTTCCATCAGATCCTTGTGGCGTACTATCTAGAAGGCCTTTACGTAGTCTATAAAACATAGGTACACATCCTTTTGAATTTGTATCACTCTTTCTGATAACATTCTGAGCATGAATATCGCGTTCCTTGTCCCGGTGTCTTTAACGAAATCACACTGTTATTGTCCTATTTCTGGACTGAATCTGCTGCGCGCTCTGTTGATTAGAATACGGATAATGAGTTTTGTCACGTGGTGCATTAGGTTTATTTTTCGTTGGAGTTCGAATTCGTTTGCGCCTGTTTTATTGGGCATAGCTACGAAGATACATCTGCTGAGGACTTCCGGTATATTCCCGCTGTTGTAGATTGTTATTTCGGTGATCTTTTCTATGCCAAAGTCATCTAAGGCTGTCAGCATGTCTGGCCCAGCTGCTTTGTCTCTGTTCAGTTTGGCCAGTGCGGCTTTTACTTCGGTTTCAAAATTCCATGTCCATCGCTATTTCTGTATATTGTTATTCTTATTTTTCGTCCTACTGGCTTGCTAACGAGCTGCCTCACTGTGAACTCGGAGTGGTTAGTCGGTCTAGTCGCCGACATTTCGATTAGAATATTACCAAAAAGGTGAGGGAAACAACAACAACAGCAATGACAAAAAGAAATCGTTTTTTTTGTAATTAGCTTTTAAGTTTTAACTTCGTATAAGTCCTGTAGCCCCTTACTATAATGCTAATAAAAGAGGGGAGGAAATTAAATTTGTTTCACTTAGAGAAGAAAAAATTGAAAAACAAGAAAAAATAAAATAAATAGTAGCAGCAATCAAATAAAACAAGAGGGAAAAGAGAGAGCAGGAAAAGTTCCCCATATTTAAACCCAAGACGCAATTAGTAATGCCGAAAAAGAGATTAATACTTAAGTAAATTAGTAATTTGGAAACCAAAAAAAAAAAAAAAATTAAAAAAAAAAAGTAGACAAAAATGTAGGAAAACCAAAGAAGGTATGCAAGAATGAATTTTAATTGCGTACATATTAGAGACAGAGCCAAGAACTGAAAACGAACATGGTTCTTAGTCGAGACTTAGCAAAGAGTGATTTCTGCGACTACACCCTCCGTACACACTCGGGACCGAGGGAGGTGGGGGCTAGTCTGACTGTATATATAGACAAAAAATCACTTCACGACTGTGTCCAGGCTTTTTGTTCGCAGGTCAACTTATATTCAAAATAGAAAACTTAAGACGAGGTGTATTGAATCCAGTACCATTAGAAATAAGACAGTTATGGAAAGTAAACTAAAACAATTAGTAATAGCGAAAGAACAGATTAATACTCAAGTAAATTAGTAATTTGGAAACAAAAACACTATGTAGAAATACTATCTGTAACACTATGAAGAAAATAACTCCTTTTTCTGGAACAATGTTGAAGATATGTTTGTATTTGTGCAATGCTTGTTAGTAGCGTAAATGACTATGTAATAACCAACACATGGTTCCAAGATCATCTGTAACGACTGATGACATGAAGGAGTCAATCGATCATCGCCCTCTTATATGTAAACTAAGAGTGAAACTGCGGAAACTGAAGAAATCTAATGCAGCACCCAAACTTCAATACAACAAACTCCGGAGCAATACTAAACTAAAAGAAAAAAAATATATGGACAATTTGAAGAGAAGATACAAGGTACGCAACGGAAACTCAATCAATATTACCCGAGACGACTATGGACATGAAGGAGTCCAGGAGGAGAAAATAAATCCAAATTGATTGCAAAACCATCAACAAATGATTCAGGAATGCAATGACTCACTGCAACACCTACCCAAGGGCCGACTGCGGAAGCGATCATAACTCTTTTATATATCAAACTAAGAGTGAAACTGCGGAAACTGAAGAAGCCTAATGCAGCACACGAACTGCAATACAACAAACTCCGAGGGATCCTAACCTAAAAGAAAAATATTTGGACAGTGTGAAAAGAAGATACGAGGCACACAATGAAAACTCGAAATGGGTCGCACTAAGAGACGCTTTAGTGATATCAACAAACGATATCATCCCATTGCGACATGATGGAAAGAAGACGGAAAATTCTGCCAAGACACGGAACGGAGTACAGAAAATTGCACAGTGAAATAAAGACCAAATGCAGACAAGCTAAAGAAGAATGGCTAAACGAAAAATGTGATGAAATAGAAAGACTCCGTACTATTAACAAAACAGACATGGATGAACATATAAGGCAACTTGCAGGACAGACGGCATGCTCGTCAACAGGCTGCCTAAAATCAAAGGAAGGAACGTTCATATTAGAGATGGAAAAACCTTCAACGCTAGAGCGAGTATATTGTAGAATTCTTCCACGACGAAAGGGAACAGCCAACAATACACAGAACTACAGACGGACCTGGAATTATGAAATCGAAGTAAAAGCCGCACTGGCCAAACTGAACAGAAACAAAGCAGCGGGGCCAGACGGCATTGTAACGGAAATGCTGACAGCCGTAGATGATTTTGGTATAGAAAAGAACACCGAAATAACAAATTAAATCTACAACAGCGGGAACATACTGGAAGACCTCAGCAGATGTATCTTCGTAGCTATGCCCAATAAAACAGGCGCAAACGAATGCAAACTCCACCAAACAATAAGTCTAATGCACCACGTGACAAAACTCATTATCCATATACTGATGAACTAAGCGCGCAGCAGATTCAGCCCAGAGATAGGACAAGGACAGTGCGGGTTCGTTAAAGGCACCGGAACAAGGAACGCGATATTCATGCTCAGAATGTTATCGAGAAGAGCGATACAAATGCAGAAGAACGTGTACCTATGTTTCATAGACTATGCAAAGGTCTTCGACAAAGTACGCCTCAAGGATCTGATGCAACCTTGATATATTCGGGAAAGATATCAGAATAATCAAAAACCTAATATGGCAGCAAACAGCATGCCTGCGCATAGAGAACGAGATCTGCGAATACACAAAAATAGAAAGGGGCGTAAGGCAAGAATGCGTCTACTCACTCGACCTGATCAACCTGTACAGCGAGGCAATTGGTAATCTTACCTGTATTTAGCGTTGGCGGCCACAATTTCAAAACATATAATACGCAGATGACACAGTACTGATAGCAGATACGGAAAAGAAAGTACAAAATCTCCACAATGTAGCGATTGAGAGTGTGAATAAGGGACTAAGCATAAACTACAAGAAGACGGAATGCATGGTCATCAGTAAGAGGATGAGCCTGAAATGCGATCTGCATGTCGAGAACGCTAGAATTAAGCAGATGTGGTAGTTTAAACTGAGTTTGACAGAGGACGGTAAGTGCATAAGTCCGTAGACGTATTGGGATTACCAAGGCGTATTCCAAAAGGATTTCTTTAGTAACAACAAAAAAGGATACTGAGCTGTTACATGGCATCTATCCTTCTTTACGGCAGCGAATTTTGGACGATTTCCTCAAGGATGAAGAAGAGACTCAAGGCGACGGAGATGTGATTCTACAGAAGGATGCTAAAGATTTTGTGGACCGCGCGTGTGAGCAACGATGAGGTATTGGGGAGGATTCAGACAAAGCGGAGGCTCATGCTTAACATCAGGAAGAGGCAGCTCAATAATGAGGAAGGAGGGAGTTGAGACGCTGACACTCATGGGTCGGAAGGAGAGACAAGGGGAAGCAGCGCGTGACATTTCTGGCGGTTGGATGAAAGAACGTGGTCTGGGGGAGATAGCAAAAGGAAGAAACTTGTTGAGATCTCTAAGGAATAGAGGGAGGGGGAGATCCATGAGCGCCTGCATCGTGAAAAGACATGTCACATAAAAGAAAGATGATAGGAAATTACTAGCCGAGTATTTGATGTTCTTCTTCTCTATCTCCATCTTCATTCCTCCAACGTATGAGGTTTACGGCCACATCACGTTGAAACTCTGGTTACCGTACGATCCCAGAAGTTAACCAGAATCGAGTCTGTTCAGTACCTAGATAGGTGACCGCTTGGGAATGTCCTGGATGTCCTTTTCTACGCACTCACTCCATCATGCACAGTTATAGAGGCACCCGCATGTATGTCCTAATTGATCTTTAAAGTTTATCACAAATGGAAGTAAGAAAAAGGTGTTAAGTAATTTTCAAAACTTTAAAAAAATCAGTATTCATAATTCTACAGCAGGGTAGTACAAAAAAAAAGTGGTGTAATGGTTCGAATTCAGATATTGAGATTCCTTATTTTATATTTCCTGTCTCTCAGAAAATAAATATTTGTTTAGATATATCATACTGTCAGAATTTACTTTCTGGAATTAATCTTGTAGAATCTTCCAGATATGAGACTCATATAAAAGTTTTAGAAGCTAATGTTTCCGGCAGAATAACGGAAAATGGAATTTATATATCATAGTGTAACTTTGGGCACCTCGACGTGGTGTAATGGTTAGGAAGCTTTTCTTACTAAATCAATTACGACTGTAATGAATTCGATCCTCACTGGGTGTCCCATACTTTCGGCCTTGTGCCACATCAAAGCTGGGCTTAGAAAATCAATATATCATACTGAAACAATTTTTCTTTTTTAACTACACATTTTTCTTTGCTTCTCACGTTTACTTACTTTCTTGAATTAATCTTGTAGAATTTCCCAGACATATGACTCATATAAAAGTTTTAGAAGCTGATGTTTTGGGGAGAATAACGGAAAATGGAATTTATTTTAAAAATCAATAGTAGTAATGATTTTAGATAGATGACAGAATCCAGATCACTAGCACTGTTATAGATTGAAGCCAAGAGGAAAAATCGTCATCTGTTTAGTTCTCAGGTTCGGCAAAATGAAGAAGAATTCATACCCCAACCATTTCATAGCGTCGCAGACAAAACCTGTCTTTCTATGAACTCGGATACCTACCTCTGACACTGATGGGAAATAGAGAACCATCTCCATCATAAGTTAGGCTCGTCATACATGTTCTAATTGCTACACGTGTACAGATCTATAAACCTACACTCATATGCACTTATGCACATGTGTATACACATATGCACATGTGTATACACATATGAACTCCTTTACAGCAAACCTAAGCAGGAAAAAGTAAACATTCCCTCCCAATTGGATGAATTCCTGTCAACCCCGATAGAATATTTGCTTTTCATTTTTATTTTCTGCTATTTAAAATTCTTTACCTGCTTTTCCCAGATTTTTTCCAGATTTTTTCGTAAATTTTCAGGTAAATAAACGGCTCAGATAAGCATGTAATAGAATCAAATATTATCCGGCAGACATCACTCTCATTCATCCACATTTAACACTGATACTTGTCTGTCTTTCTTTTCAGTTCATTTTTTGTTTTCGTTGTTTTGAATTTCGCTCATTTTGACTATTGTTTTCTCTTTGAAATGGCGTACTTGGTTTAAATTTTTTCATTGTTTCTCTGCCCATCTTTCTTTTTATTTATCAGCGAGATGTTGACGTTTTTCTTCACTTACTTATATTTGTCCTCTACTCTTTTTTTTATGTCTAGCTCGGCCATTTTCCATTCTTTTAAAAAATATTTCTCTTTCCTTACTCTTTTTTTTATTGCTTGCTGCTTTATTTCTTGCTTTGGTACCATAGAGAATTTCGACCCTTTTCAGTAAAACTCGAAAGCTAAAGTTGTTTCTCTTCATAACTTATTTTCTCCTATAAGCTTGAATGATGATATAATCTCTTTCTTCATATATAGTATACCAAAAGAATGCCAGTGAGAATAATAAAGGCATCTACCCCCATCCTTATAATCAACAATGACAGTATTCACACACACACACACACACACACACACACACAAACACACACGCGCACGCGCACAATCACGCACATACTCATCTTACAAACGCCAGAAGTAAAGAAAAAAATAAGATGCATTTGTTTCGTAGGAAAACTGAGCCAACCTTTGATATGGGGCTATGTTAATTTTGTTAACGTAAAGCAACTTACAAAACACTATTGAATATAATCACAGATAAGGCTATACATATATATATGCTAAGATCAAAGTGTAGTATCTGTTCTTATATTCAGTGGATATTATATATATACACACATATATATATACATGTATGTATATATATATATATATATATATATATATATATATATATACATACATATATATATATATATATATATATACATACATGCATATATATATATATATATATATATATATATATATATATATATATATATATATATATACATGAAACAGTGAACGTGATAAAGACAACCTTATATATAATCGCAAACAAAATTTCTGTATGTAGTTTTACTATTGACTTCAAATAGGAACATGAACAAACAACAGCATTCCGAGAGGAAAAAAAACCCTCAAAGGTCAATAATTAAAAATAATTTAAAAATCAATAGCAGTATTGATTTTAGACAGATGACACAGTCCAGATCTCTAGCACTATTATAGTTTGAAGCCAAGAGGAAAAATCGTCATCTATTTAGTTCTCAGGTTCGGTAAAATGAAGAAGAATTCATACCCCAAGCATTTCATAGCGTCGCAGACAAAACCTGTCTTTCTATGAACTCGGATAGCTACCTCAAGAAAAGAAATGGCCAAAGAATGCTACTTAATAGAAAAGATCGAACTCACGACTCCAGCAAATTAATTTAGAATGATGGACTAGTTAACCATCAGATCAAGTATAAACCGAGAGACGACATGGATAATTTGACCTTTAGGTAAAGTGAATAACTTTAATTAAAAATGTTACTGATTATATTATAGCGATCATCATCACACACACACATACATTCCTATTCAAATTCAAATTTCAATAGCAATCATACATTGGATAGAAATCAACGGTACTGTCTTATGCGACAATTTTGAAATCGTTATATTTTCTTATAGTAGATTTTGTGCACTTTTGGGAGAATCGACTCCCAGAAATCTCCCCAAAGCTCATTCACTGATTATTCACTGTCGACCAATCGGATTGTCTGCACGTGAAGATTGATTCTTCCCGCGCAGCATTCCTGATCCAATGATCACCTATAAAAGCAAGAAAAAGTGTAGACACCCCAGTGAGACTTCAGCTGCCACAGAAATCCACGACAGTTGAAGCTATGCGCCGATCTTCTCACTCACCACTCACAAACTGACTATTCCTTTACATTTACATATTTTTTCCTCTGGCACAGCAAAACTATTAAAAAACATTTATTAAAAACTATTAACTCATTCTTTTCAGAGAACTTTGATAGACAATGATAGTCGAAGAGAGACAACTCTCGTCTTACTCATTGCATGCATTTTCTTACACATTATTTATTGTATGCATTGTTGAATACAATTTTTATATATAATGATACCTTTACCTTGTCCTTTCTTCACATCAGTTTCGTTTCCTAATCAAAATTAAATAAATGTGGTCCACCACAATATCATTATTCCTAATAACTGAATAAAGTTTTTATTTAATTTTGCCATGGAAATACATGCTTAAATTTCTGCATAGAGCAGTAAAGTATCTGGAATTGTCAAAAGTCAAAGTGTCACTTCTGTTCTTTAACAGATAAAGGAAATTTATTCGTTAAATGGTGGATGTTTATTTTATTTTCTTAGTTTCGGGCGAAATTTAGTCGTTATTCGAGTACATCTAAAATAAACGCCATTTTTGTAGCTTCTGGGAACGTAGACGAGAAGATATATTGAAAATAGAATTATTAAAAGAACATAGGACTTGTGCAAATGAATAAATACAAAGAAATGAAATCCGGGATTTGACTACCTAGCTAGCTAGCTAGCTAGCTAGCTAGCTAGTACCTACCTACCTATCTATCTATCTATCTATCTATCTATCTATCTATCTATCTATCTTTTTTTCATATCCTTCTTCATATCTATTTTCATATTCATATTCATATCTATCTTCCTCTATATGTCTATTTTGATATTTACCTTTTTCATATCAATTTTCATATCTATTTTAATATCTATATCTATTTTATTTATTTATTTTTCCTATTTATATCTAACTATTATCATGACAATATCTACTTTCATATCCATCTTCATTCCTTTTAAAATCTATCTATCTATCTATCTATCTATCTATCTATCTATCTATCTATCTATCTATCTATCCCTACACATCTATATCCATATTTATATATTTTTATTCATGTACATATTTATATTCATACAGCTATCTATATTTATCTATCGTCTTATCTATATATCCATATCTATCTTCATATCTATATCTCTATATTCATATCTCTATATCTATATCTGTACATAGCTATATCTATCTACATTCATATCTATATACTTATATTCATATCTATATCTACGTATCTATATCTATTTAAATTCATATCAATATATCATATATATAAATTCATATTTCTTTGTCGCTCTCTCTCTCTCTCTCTCTATATATATATATATATATATATATATCTTTATATGTATATAGTGGTGAAGAAAACGGGTAGAAATAAATTGAAATAAAAGAAATGTCTCTCGTTCTCTTGGCACGTTCGTTTTATTTTCGTGTTTACTTGCGTGGTCGTCTCTGCCAGAAGCTTGGGTGTTCAGCCTTTACGTGTGTGAGTGTAAAGAGAGAATGGTAAGGAGGGTAGGTTGGGGTAAACCCAGTGCCATTGTTTTCTTCCATATTATATTATTTTTTTCTTTCGATGCCTTCTTGTTTCTTTGTACAAAATCGAATCAAAATTAGTCATCGTACCTCGAAATGTGCACTGTTTCATGGGACACAGAAGATGGGTTGACGTGCCAATCTACTCCTTACATACACAGGGAAACGTTTAGGCAATGAACAGAAAAAGGTTTCATGGAGAAAAAGTTAAAAAGCAACAAAAAAAAAAGATAATAAAGATAACAATAAATATTTCACAGGCCAAAATAAAAGAGAAAAAAAGAGTAAACCAAAAAACAAATGAAAAGCACAAAAATAAAGATATAACATCAGGACAACCTTCAAAGGTTTGACGAC